GGAGGACAGGGCTGGGGAGAGGAGCCACCATCTGTCAGAGGTGGCCAGATGCCTGGCTGGGTTTGGCATGCTCTGGCAGCCTGCTGGGAGGAACATGGGAGCACCCCCATCCTGCTGGCCTCGGCTAGTGCAGGCAGCCTACACACCCCTCTCCCTCCGAAGGATGAATGTCTGTCTGTTTTGTTCACTCCTTACCTAAACTACAGTGTTTAGAGTAAACCACAAAACTTATATCGCTTCTACCTTAGGATTTTTGAACATCCATACTTAGCCTAAATTTCCACTGCAAATTTTCATATATAAAGTTCAGATTTTACAGGTTTTTTTCTTTTTTTAACGTAAAACACAATTGGAAGTACTGGTACTAGTACACTAAACTAAATACCTGGACAATATAGGTGCTGTACCAGTTATCAGGCTTTTAACTATCTGAAAAGTACAAGCATTTTGTTTAGGTGTGCTACATGAAATGTGCTTTCATAAAATTTTTACTTTACTTTTTTCCCCCCCCCCACTCAAACTACTGATTAAATAATGCCTAGAAATAATGCTGGGTGCCTATACTTGTAGTAAGCTTCAAAAGGTTTCTCCTACTCAAGGTTAAATAAGTATTTGAAATATTCAGTAATACTGGTGCATGTTTTCTGACCTACAAAATGTATGGAGAAGTGTTTTAAAGTGAAAACTATGATTAAGACCTTATAGGACAACACTGATATTTCCCAAGTCTGATAGTAAACTGACTGGTATGTGATAAGCAAACATTCAGTATCCCAGTGGAAATGTGTCATCTATATTCAACATACAGAACTACTAATTTAAAGAAAATCAAATAGAGTATTAATTGTAAGGAAATAGCAACAACCCCTGTAATAGCCAATGTTAGGCCACCAAATTATTTAATATTCTTATGACTTTCTCTCAAGCTGTTGTAAAATCTCCAGCAAGGTACTGAAATTTGGCAGAAGGCAATCCTTGGTTCAGGGAAGTGTTTGATTGGGAACTTCAAAAACCATCAGCTTTTTAATGGAATAATACTTCTATAACTGTAATGTAGAACAAATTTGAATCATAAATAAAACAGGTAACAGCAGGTTTATGCAAATACTGACTAGCATTAGGCAGAAGGTAGGGCAGGGTAGCACCTTAGAGACTAAATGGTTCAGAGAGGCATGAACTTTCATAGGAAATAACCCCCTTTTTCAGATCCTATGGGTGGAGATGAGACTTATTAAACAGAAGTCTTCCCTCTGGTTCATAATTTAGTGTCTATTGCATTGTGCTCAAAAGCCTTTATTTTCCCTCAAAAAATTAAATTTAACACTTAGCATTTAGGAAAACACCAGTAAAATGGTTTGGATATACTTTTATAAAAACAGCCTAGTGACTTGTTTTTAAATAATTAAGTATAACTAGGCCTCGTGTTTTAACAAATAGGAGTTGAATAAAGGTTACATTTAGTTTTGATTATTATATACTGAATTCAACAAATCAACTAACTCAATGACTGTAAGAGATATTAGGGAGGAGGGGAGGGGGAAACGATGGCATACAAATCTCAACAGCTTTCCACGTATCTGATACCTACCTTGTTGTATCGTTAGTTGGCAAGGCGGACATTCTCCTGCATGGCACACCTGAGTACAGTTATGTTTACGACAATTTAACGTATTCCCACATACATTTGAACAATGAATTGTGGTGGACTGGCCACAGCGCACTGAGTGACTGTAGATAAATAACAGGATGATTAGTAAATTATCTTACTAGGACTTAAGTATTCCATATACATTCATCCAAGTAATTGCTTTGCAATATGAGCCGCAATTCTTCAAAGGAAATATACAATAATAGAATGCATTAAATTGTCCAGAAACTAAAAATGGATCATATCTCTAAGTCTAAGGCAGGCTACTATGTAATTCTTCGCACATCAAAACAGAGAAAATTGCTTGATGTCACATTAACTGGATATACTGCATTATTTAAAATACAGAACACCCTTTTATATTATTTATGAAATCTTTTAAAAGTTTAAAATTAACTTTGTTGCCAAGACTGTCATTAAAGCATCTCCTTTCTAGTAGTGCATTACAGACATTGGTAACTTCCATAATATGCTTATTCTTTTTCACAGACTCTCTTCAGGTTGACAAGTATGTTTAGAGCATAGTATCTGACTTTTGTAGATTTTATTTATACCATTTACAACACATAATAGCATATACATATTTCAGCCTTGTATATTTGGAAAAGAAGATACTGAGATCTGTGAAGCACTTCTGTTTCCTATGGGGTTCATTCCACACTGCTAGATCAGCTCCCAAAAAAGCTGCCACCTACACAGATGAGCATTATGATTGTATCAGAAAATCTCACTGTGCCAGGCGAGGAGAGTTTCTTTATATTGGTACCAATCCAATACTGGACTGATGTATCGGTGCACCTCTGAAAACTCCAGACATATAACCAGGGTAAAGTTATCTTTTAAATGACCCGGCCTCAGCCCTGAATGTAAGAAAAGGGACCTTGATTTTGATTTGGTAATATATGAAATAACAGTGCATTTCTTACTTTAATTACTTAAAGTTACAGTGCCCCAATAAGGTTTTTTTTACTTCTATAATACCGATACAGCCTCTTAATCTAAATTCAAACTTCAGTTCTTTTGTCTGCGATACGATGCAAAGACTAGTAATGTTAGTAGCAGAACAACATTCCTTCTGTAAAACCCATGCGCTGATTATAGAGTTGTGGGTGCCATGATTTTGTACAGCTATACTAAATGGACTTGGCCCTTTCATAGTTTCATAGTAGGTAGAGTCGGAAGGGACCTGAGCAGATCATAAATCCCGCCCCCCTGCCACAGCAGGAAAAAGTACTGGGGTCAAAGGACCCCGGCAAGGTGTTCATCTAACCTCCTCTTAAAGACCCCCAGGGTAGGAGCCAGCACCACTTCTCTTGGAAGTTGGCTCCAGATCCTAGCCGCCCTGACAGTGAAGTAGCGTCTCCTGATGTCTAGCCTGAATCTACCCTCTGTCAGCTTGTGACTCTTATTTCTAGTCACTCCTGATAGTGCTCAGGGGAACAGGGACTCCCCCCAAGGCCTGCTGGTCCCCTCTGACTAGTTTGTAACAGGCCACTAGATCCCCTCTCAGCCTTCTCTTGTGGAGGCTGAACAGGTTCAGGTCCCTTAGCCTCTCCTCGTAGGGCCTGCCCTGCTGGCCTCTGATCATGCGAGTGGCCCTCCTCTGGACCCACTCCAAGTTGTCCACATCACTCCTAAAGTGTGGCACCCAGAACTGGACACAGTACTCCAACTGCAGCCTGACCAGTGTTGCAGAGAGGGGGAGGATCACCTCCTTGAACCTGCTCGAGATGCATCTGTGGATGCATGACAAGGTGTGGTTGGCCTTCCTGACCGTGTTCCCACACTGTTGGCCCATGTTCATTTTGGCATCAATAATGACTGCAAGATCCTTTTCTGCCTCTGCACTGACGAGAAGGGAGTTCCCCAGCCTGTAGGTATGCTGCTGGTTCTTCCTCCCCAGGTGCAGCACCTGGCACTTGTCAGTATTGAAACCCATCCTGTTCTCATCCGCCCACCCCTGTAACCTGTCTAGGTCCAATTGCAGCCTATTCCTCCCTTCTAGCGTGCCCACTTCTCCCCACATCTTAGTGTCGTCAGCAAATTTGAACAGGGTGCTTTTTACCCCCTCATCCAAGTCACTGATGAAGATGTTGAACAGTGCGGGTCCGAGGTCCAAGCCCTGGGGGACCCCACTGCCCACATCCCTCCAGGTCGAAAATGACCCATCCACCACCACTCTCTGGGTGCGGCCTTCCAGCCAGTTAGCGACCCATTTGACTGTGTAGGTGTCGACGCCACAGTCGACTAGTTTTTTGGGGTGAGAGACAGTGTCGAAGGCCTTCAAAGTCCAGAAAGACTACGTCCACTGCTACCCCTGTGTCTAAGGATTTTGTGACCTGGTCATAGAAGGCCACCAGGTTGGTCTGACAGGACCTGCCTCTAATGAACCCGTGTTGGTTGCCCCTAAGCATAACCTCCCCTACTAGCCCCTCATGGACATGCGCCAGGATAATTCTCTCAAAAAGCTTACCCAGGATCGAGGTAAGACTGACTGGCCTATAATTTCCTGGGTCCTCCTTCCTCCCTTTTTTGAATGGGGACCACACTGTCCCTTTTCCAGTCCTCTGGCACCACACCAGAGCACCATGAATGCTCGTAAAGCCATGCCAGGGGTCCTGCAATGACCTCTGCTAATTCCCTCAGCACTCTGGGGTAGAGGTCGTCAGGACCAGCTGATTTAAATACGTCCAGTCCCTCCAGAAGTTCCCTGACTAGGTCCTCACTGACCCTAGGCCTGAGTGCGCCTCCCCTGGGGCCTGAGGGGATCCCAGCGGATGGGCTGATCCAGTCCCTACTCAGGAAAATGGAGGCAAAGAAATTGTTAAATAGGTTAGCTTTGTTGTCTGATGTGATGACCAGATTTCCTAGTGTGTCTTGCAGAGGCCCCATGTTACCCAGTACCTTCTTTCTACTCCCTATGTATTTAAAAAAGGACTTCTTGTCGTCCTTGATCTGGGTAGCTAGTCCCCAGTTCCATCTCTGCCTTGGCCTTCCTGACTGTCCCCCTGCAGCCCTGAGCAACCAAGGTATAGTCCTCCATGGTGATGGGAGGACTATACCTCAGTTGCTGGGGGTTTCAGTCCTCTTAAACCAATATCATAGATGTTCAGATGAAAAGGCAAATGTAATGCTTTGGGAAAAGAGAAATAATACCATAAGAAGCAATTTGCAGCTCCAGATAACCTGACCCCAATATACAGGACAGTATGTCAGACTAACTAAAGGCAGCTGGAATTCTATATGTAAAACAGTAACTCTAATATTATTTGAAGTTTTTAGCTGAAATTAGTATACCTTTAAAATTAATTACATCTCTTATTCCAGGTTGGCTTGCTAACAAGGCGACCTTAAACCATAACTGGGAGAAAGTGTGGCTGGAGGGGGCGAAATAACTTTATTTAAATTTTTTAAAATAAACATAATTAAAAAAAATTTTTTTTTGCTTTTTTATCACCTTTCCTCAATATCCTTATGGTATCAAATGGAAAGGCAGATTTTGAAAAGTGAGGTTAAAATGTTAACAAATAAATCAAAAACGGTGCTTTCTACAAACTGCTAGATATTTCTGCAATCCATGGCTGACTCGCTCCTGATCTTCAGGATCAACAACTAAGCCCTTTTCATTCTGTGGGAATGAAAGCAAAGATTTGATGCATTTCTAAAGAAAGTGTTTGATAGCACATGGTTTTTATTCCATTTGAAAGTACAGGCAGCCCCTGCTTAACACAGTTTCACTAAGCACTATTTTGCTATAGCGTTCATTTAAAATTCATACCTCGTTTCACTTAGCGCTGAGCCAGTTTCGCTATAGCACTCAATGAAACAGCAGCAGCAAGAATCGGTGTGGCAGTGAGTGGGCAGGAGAACATGAGCTCGGGGCCTGCACTGGTGCCACAGGGCCAGGGCAAGCAGGGGCGGCACAT